ATTTCACGGACGCTGGAAGATTGCAACGCCAACGTCCACCCGTGATCTTCGTATCTTGGTATGGTACAGACTTTGCAAAGTTCGAGGACGCTGTAAGTTTGTAACGCCAACGTCCACCCATGAACTCCGTATCTTCGTATGGTACCGACCATGCATATTTCAAGGACGCTGTAAGTTTGTAACGCCAACGTCCACCCATGAACTTCGTATCCTTGTATGGTACAGACATTGCAATTTTTTTAAATCACGCTGTAAGGTTGTAACACCAACGTCCACCCATGAACTCTGTCTCCTTGTATGGTACTACTAGTACTACTACAGAACTGGAGACCAGTCAGTATATAACACCCACTGGGCAAGGATATCATGAGTATTGTGGTCTCTCCAGCCAAAGAAGAAGTACATCAACTTGTATACACTGTCCCTCAGAGAACATGTACCTCATCGGAGCACATCCACTGCCTTGAGACGAGTGTAGGCTCACTGTGCAAAAGTTGGGGAACAGGCTGAATGGCATGGAATCACCCCACATCAACAACAAGCAGGTGTCACCGAGATCACCAGCAGTGGTGGATTGCAGATCAGCATGGATTTATCGTCGGCTTTCGATCTGGTATAGAACTGTGGCCCGAAACGGCGCATACATTGGCATAGTTGGACAGAGATGCAGAGATTTATGCAGGCCATGGCTCTCAAGGCAGCTTGCTGCCGTCCAGGGATGTAAGCGTCCTTAACGGGCAAGTATAGTACTCGAGCAGTCCGCAGGCACTGCACCTCTTCGATACACTCAGAATGTCGCCGGATCCCCTCGCCCCTATTCACCGCCATGTTGATGAACTTGACCCGCAGGGCATCTGCTCCGATCTCGTGCCACTTGCTCGGAGCCTCGCGGCAACACCAAGATTCAACAGAAAATCGTACGTCGTGCCGCACCACACGCTTATAGCCATTGCATGCACCCGAACCTTCATCTTACTTTGGCGCTGGATGACGTGCTGCAAGTATTGGAAGATTTCATGCAGCATGATGCGCGGCCGAGTCCTGACGAAGCCGCTGACGGTGCCCATTAACTACATCGGTTGACTGACAAAGTCATCAAAAATAAACGATTCAGAGCGCCTGCGTTCATATGGAGTGGAGGTGTCTTCCATGAACAAGCGCATGCGATGGCCGGCTTCCTGCCACGTCATACAAGGTGCCTGAATGGTTGCTGATAAATGCGGAGCTGGTGTCACACATTTCCGGTTGGCGGACGGCCTCCCCCAGGACAATATTGCCGCGCGGGCACCAGACCCGCCCTAGCTCCCCGTCCAGGTCGAGCAGCCCGGCCTGGAAAAGACTTCATTGCCGCGCAAAAGAGACCGTATACAACAGACCGACGCCGGTGGACGGGACACGGAACACGAGTGGGATATGTATCGTAACATCGACGCCGAACTCTTCTGCAAGGGATCTGATAAAGAGACCCGTACCACCGTAGGAGAGAGAGAAAGAGAGAAGAGAGGAGCAGAGAAAGCACACCACTGACACAAAGGAGGTATGAGAGAGTGAGAGAGGGGGAGAGAGAGTAAGAGAATAATAGCGAGCAAAGTAAAGAACACACGGAGCAAACGCACAAGACAAGGAAACTCAAAATCAGGAAGACAATGACTAATAGGTGCCCAACAGCATCGCCGCAGTGTCAACACAAGCGGACACGTGCAGTCTTACAAAGCCGGTGCCCGGTTCGACCTATTATGAACGAACCAACTCGTGAGTCTACTGCGACAGGACACGTGCAGACCCGCAGCCCAGAACTCAGTTCGATCTAGCACGAGGCGAGCCAGCACATGTCATGAGTGGTGCAGTCCCACAGCCCGGAGCTCTGTTTGACCTATTGCGATGCAATCCATCGGCGCACTGCGTATGAGTTTTTTTTCCATTGAGCCAGCAGCCCAAAACCCAGTTCGACCCATTAAGAGCAATACTTTAACGCATCGTAACGCCGTCCAGCAACCTGAAAGCACAGTCGGAGAAGCGATCTAGCAACCCGGCGCCGGGTTCGATCTACTATGGGACGCTCCCACTTGCCATGGTTCAGTGCGCAGGGCGTCCGGGTTCGAGGCTGATGAATTGGGAGCTAGGGAGTTCAGGTACAGCCCGAAAGACCAGCCACGAGTGCCTTGCTGCAGCGTCGATGCAAGCAGACGCACGCAGTCCCGCAGCCAGCGCTCAGTTCGACCTACTATGAGACATGCCACCTCTTGAGTCCTCTGCATGCAGGCTCGTGCAACCCAGCAGCGCGGAGCTCACTTCATATCACGAGGCGATTCAACACGTGAATCCACTGCAGGCGAAGGCGTGCAGTCGGGCATTGTGCGTTTGGGCATGGGAATTATGGTTTTCGTAGTTCCAAGTACAGCCGTACGGCCAGCCATGCGGGCAGCGCCACAGTGTCGATGCAAGCGGACACGTGCAGTCCAGGAAAGCCAGAGCCCGGTTCGACCTATTATGAAACGAACCAACTCGTGAGTCCACTGCAAGCGGACACGTGCAGCTCGTGCAACTCAGCAGTCCAGAGACCAGTTCGACCCATTATGAGGCGACTCAACATGTGGATCCACCGCAGGCGACACGTGCAGTCAAGCACTGCAGGTGTAGGTTTAAGGATTTCGGAGTCCCAGGTACAGCCGCACGGCCAAACATGCGGGCATCGCCGCTGTGTCAACACAAGCGGACACGTGCAGTCTTACAAAGCCGGTGCCCGGTTCGACCTATTATGAAGCGAACCAACTCGCGAGTCTACGGCAACCGGACACGTGCAGACCCGCAGCCCAGAGCTCAGTTCGATCTAGTACGAGGCGAGCCAGCACATGTCATGAGTGGTGCAGTCCCACAGCCCGGAGCTCGGTTCGACCTATTGTGATGCAATCCATCGGCGCCCTGCGTATGAGTAGTTTTTTTTACATTGGGCCAGCTGGCCAAAACCCAGTTCCACTCATTAAGAGCAGTACTGTAACGCATCGTAACGCCATCCAGCAATCCGAGGCACAGTCGGAGAAGCGATCTAGCAACCCGGCGCCGGGTTCGACCTACTATGGGACGCTCCCACTTGCCATGGTTCAGTGCGCAGGGCTTCCGGGTTCGAGGTTGATGAATTAGAGGCTAGGGAGTTCAGGTACAGCCTGAAAGACCAATCACGAGTGCCTTGCTGCAGCGTCGATGCAAGCAGACGCACGCAGTCCCGCAGCCAGCGCTCAGTTCGACCTACTAGGAGACGTGCCACCTCATGAGTCCTCTGCATGCAGGCTCGTGCAACCCAGCAGCGCGGAGCTCACTTCATATTATGAGGCGATTCAACGCGTGAATCCACTGCAGGCGAATGCGTGCAGTCAGGCACTGTGCGTTTGGGCTCGGGAATTATGGATTTCGTAGTTCCAAGCATAGCCGTACGGCCAGCCATGCGGGCAGCGCCACAGTGTCAATGCAAGCGGACACGTGCCGTCCAGGAAAGCCAGAGCCCGGTTCGACCTATTATGAAACGAACCAACTCGTGAGTCCACTGCAAGCGGACACGTGCAGCTCAGCAGTCCAGAGTCCAGTTCGACCCGTTATGAGGCGACCCAACACGTGGATCCACCGCAGGCGACACGTGCAGTCAAGCACTGCGGGTATAGGTTTAAGGATTTCGCAGTCCCAGGTACAGCCGCACGGCCAAACATGCGGGCATCGCCGCAGTGTCAACACAAGCGGACACGTGCAGTCTTACAAAGCCAGTGCCCGGTTCGACCTATTATGAAGCGAACCAACTCGCGAGTCTACGGCAACCGGACACGCGCAGACCCGCAGCCCAGAGCTCAGTTCGATCTAGTACGAGGCGAGCCAGCACATGTCATGAGTGGTGCAGTCCCACAGCCCGGAGCTCGGTTCGACCTATTGTGATGCAATCCATCGGCGCCCTGTGTATGAGTATTTTTTTTTACATTGGGCCAGCAGGCCAAAGCCCAGTTCAACTCATTAAGAGCAATACTTTAACGCATCGTGACGCCGTCCAGCAACCTGAAGGCACAGTCGGAGAAGCGATCTAGCAACCCGGCGCCGGGTTCGATCTACCATGGGACGCTCCCACTTGCCATGGTTCAGTGCGCAGGGCGTCCGGGTTCGAGGCTGATGAATTGGGAGCTAGGGAGTTCAGGTACAGCCCGAAAGACCAGCCACGAGTGCCTTGCTGCAGCGTCGATGCAAGCAGACGCACGCAGTCCCGCAGCCAGCGCTCAGTTCGACCTACTATGAGACATGCCACCTCTTGAGTCCTCTGCATGCAGGCTCGTGCAACCCAGCAGCGCGGAGCTCACTTCATATTACGAGGCGATTCAACACGTGAATCCACTGCAGGCGAAGACGTGCAGTCGGGCATTGTGCGTTTGGGCATGGGAACTATGGTTTTCGTAGTTCCAAGTACAGCCGTACGGCCAGCCATGCGGGCAGCGCCACAGTGTCGATGCAAGCGGACACGTGCAGTCCAGGAAAGCCAGAGCCCGGTTCGACCTATTATGAAACGAACCAACTCGTGAGTCCACTGCAAGCGGACACGTGCAGCTCAGCAGTCCAGAGTCCAGTTCGGCCCATTATGAGGCGACCCAATATGTGGATCCACCGCAGGCGACACGTGCAGTCAAGCACTGCGGGTATAGGTTTAAGGATTTCGCAGTCCCAGGTACAGCCGCACGGCCAGACATGCGGGCATCGCCGCAGTGTCAACACAAGCGGACACGTGCAGTCTTACAACGCCAGTGCCCGGTTCGACCCATTATGAAGCGAACCAACTCGTGAGTCTACTGCAACCGGACACGTGCAGACCCGCAGCCCAGAGGTCAGTTCGATCTAGTACGAAGCGTGCCAGCACATGTCATGAGTGGTGTACCGCTGTGCATACTGCCGACCCTTCGCCACTTTCTCAAGCGCTCATCCGAGCAAGTCTGCAACGGTATAGCACCGCAGGCAAATCTCCCGCAACGGCCATGGCAGGACATTTTGAGCCGGACCTACGTCGGCAGATGATCGCCCGCTTCATGGACGAGGTTCGCGACGTTCCCGTTCGTTTCGGCATACAGCAACCACTCAAGTCAGCAGATCTATCAGCGGACATCACACTAGCCATCGGACAGCTCTCGATGCACATGCACCTCGAGGAAGCGGACTCACAGTGGCTCATGTGTCTGGCATCGCACCTCGAGCCTGAACTTGGAGCAACGCTCGTCCCTGCGCTATGGAGACTCAAGGAGGATGTCATGACGTTAACGGAACGCGGCCAACGAGCTCGAGAGCCTTCGCCTTTCAGTCTGCCGCCTGCAGCAGCCGAGAATGGAGACGAGGAAGCCTGCGCGGCGCAAGCGCCAGTGTGGAGGAAACGGCCACGCTCCTCCAGCCCCCAATATCCACGAACAGTGCCTGATCTGAATGCAGCATTCTTCTCTTCAGTCCCTCCTAGCACCAGCAAACCTGTGACCAGGAGAAGAAAAGTATTTAAGAGCTACGAACGCCATCGTCGGAGGACCATCCGTGACTCCGATTGCAACTGTTTGAGGGAGCAGAATCAAAATCACCTTTACAGGAGACCGGCGCGCGGTCCCAGACTGCAACGGCTAGTTCAACGGTCCGATTCCAACCGAGCTGCAACGCAGAAAAGCATGAGCTGATGCAAACCGGCAGTCGCACGACCGGACACTCCTCCCTGACGCTTCGAAGATTTAGAGTGATAGTCACGAAGTCGGCATGCAATCCTGCTGTCTCTATCCAACCATTGTACCGGCACCGCGATAAACCCCGTGAGACGTCTGATCGAGAGAAGCCCCTGCTAGCTCACGTAGACCCGATATGATGATCGCCATCACAATGATGTTCTGGACCTACGAGTACAAGCACATCCGGCCAAGCGGAAGGATCGCGCGCCACGGGGAACGGCTGACCCTCTGTCTCTTCATTGCGGTCAGCGACGACCCACATCGGTGACGTCTATGTGCGTTTTGCTCTTGTCTGCAAAGAGACAAGAACTGCTTTGGTATGGTTTGGTTTTGAAGTGTCCAAATCTGGCCAATCCAAAACGCACATCGGTGACGTCTATGTGCGTTTTGCTCTTGTCTGCAAAGAGACAAGAACTGCTTTGATATGGTTTGGTTTTGAAGTGTCCAAATCTGGCCAATCCAAAACGCACATCGGTGACGTCTATGTGCGTTTTGCTCTTGTCTGCAAAGAGACAAGAACTGCTTTGGCATGGTTTGGTTTTGAAGTGTCCAAATCTGGCCAATCCAAAACGCACATCGGTGACGTCTATGTGCGTTTTGCTCTTGTCTGCAAAGAGACAAGAACTGCTTTGATATGGTTTGGGATTGAAGTGTCCAAATCTGGCCAATCCAAAACGCACATCGTGACGTCTATGTGCGTTTTGCTCTTGTCTGCAAAGAGACAAGAACTGCTTTGGGTTTGGTTTGAAGTGTCCAAATCTAGCTCCAAAACGCACATCGGTGACGTCTATGTGCGTTTTGCTCTTGTCTGCATGCTTGATATGGTTTGGGTTTGCAGTGTCCAAATCTGGCCAATCCAAAACGCACATCGGTGACGTCTATGTGCGTTTTGCTCTTGTCTGCAAAGAGACAAGAACTGCTTTGGTATGGTTTGGTTTTGAGGTGTCCAAATCTGGCCAATCCAAAACGCACATCGGTGACGTCTATGTGCGTTTGGCTCTTGTCTGCAAGGAGACAAGAACTGCTTTGGTATGGTTTGGTTTTGAAGTGTCCAAATCTGGCCAATCCAAAACGCACATCGGTGACGTCTATGTGCGTTTTGCTCTTGTCTGCAAAGAGACAAGAACTGCTTTGGTATGGTTTGGTTTTGAAGTGTCCAAATCTGGCCAATCCAAAACGCACATCGGTGACGTCTATGTGCGTTTTGCTCTTGTCTGCAAAGAGACAAGACCGAAACGTTTCGTTCAAAACGTTTCGTTCGAATCGTTCACAACGTTTTTGGGATCCAAGATCCTGCATGCAGCTGCAACATGCACGTTCTTGAGTGCTAGGATTTAGGGTTTGGGGTTTAGGGCTCTCTTTTCTCGTTCTCACCTCCCCCCGTAGCATTCCCCAAAAGGGTTCTCAAATTGCCTTGCTTGCCCTGCCCACCTGGCCCTGCGGTTTGCGGTTTGAAGAGAGAGAACACCTTGGAATGAGTTTAGGCGCGTGGTTTGGCCGCCTGAGACGGCGTGGGGTGGCAGAATTAAAAGAGAGAGCCATCCACAATCCGGCTTTAACGCCCAATCGTCACAGGACGACACACTCGAAAAGATCATTCGCTTCTGCACCAAAGTTTCGTTCCAAACGTTTCGCAGCCCCCCAAGAAATTTGAAAACATGGTTCGCAAAAAAAAAACTCGGCCAAACTTTCGGCCAAACGTTTCGGCCAAACGTTTCGGCCAAACGTTTCGGCCAAACGTTTCGGCCAAACGTTTCGGCCAAACGTTTCGGCCAAACGTTTCGGCCAAACGTTTCGGCCAAACGTTTCGGCCAAACGTTTCGGCCAAACGTTTCGGCCAAACGTTTCGGCCAAACGTTTCGGCCAAACGTTTCGGCCAAACGTTTCGGCCAAACGTTTCGGCCAAACGTTTCGGCCAAACGTTTCGGCCAAACGTTTCGGCCAAACGTTTTTGGGACCCAAACCCTTAACAACTTCTATGAGTTTAGGCGCGTGGTTTGGCCGCCTGAGACGGCGTGGGGTGGCAGAATTAAAAGAAAGAGCCATCCACAATCCGGCTTTAACGCCCAATCGTCACAGGACGACACACTCGAAAAGATCATTCGCTTCTGCACCAAAGTTTCGTTCAAAACGTTTCGCAGCCCCCCAAGAAATTTGAAAACATGGTTCGCAAAAAAAAACTCGGCCAAACTTTCGGCCAAACGTTTCGGCCAAACGTTTCGGCCAAACGTTTCGGCCAAACGTTTCGGCCAAACTTTCGGCCAAACCTTTCGGCCTAACGTTTTTGGGACCAAAACCCTAACATTTCTATATAAACCCAACCTAAACCCTAAACCCTAAACCTAACCCTTAACCCAACCCTAAACCCTAAACCCTAAAACCCTAAACCCTAAACCCTTAAACCCTAAAACCCTAAACAACCCAAACCCTAACCCTAAGCCTAAACCCGAAACCCCTAAACCCTAACCCTAACCCTAAACCCGAAAACCCTAAACCCTAAGCCTAAACCCTAAACCCCTAAACCCTAACCCTAAACCCTAAACCTAACCTAAACCCTAAAAACCTCTCTTTCATATGTATATTTAAAGGTTAATGGACTTATTGATTTTTGTCCCTCGGGGGCCTGTGCGACCACCCCGCAGGGACAAAAATCACTAATTTGGCAGTGTTTTCCGGCTTGAACACTGCCGAATTAATGATTTTTGTCCCTGGGAGCTCCCTGCAGGGACAAAAATCACTAATTTGGCAGTGTTCTCCGGCCTGAACACTGCCAAATTAATGATTTTTGTCCCTGGGGTGCCTCGCAGGGACAAAAATCACTAATTTGGCAGTGTTCTCCGGCTTGAACACTGCCAAATTAATGATTTTTGGGCCTGGGCCCGCCCTGTAGGGACAAAAATCACTAATTTGGCAGTGTTCTTCGGCTTGAACAAAGGGGGTCCTTGCAGGGACAAAAATCACTAATTTGGCAGTGTTTTCCGGCTTGAACACTACCAAATTAATGATTTTTGTCCCTGGCGGGGGGCCCGCCCTGCAGGGACAAAAATCACTAATTTGGCAGTGTGTTTTTTGTTGTTGGGGGAAAGTTCGTAACAATCTCATGTGGTGCCAAATTAGCGAGTTTTAGAGTAGAGCAGTGGCTTCTAGGGTTTAGGGCATATTTGGTTGGCCGTTAGGGTGTAGGAAGAAATTGTGTATCTTCCGAATGTTTTGGGATTCTTTGGGCGGGTGGGTTTTTTACTACTACACTGCTGACCTAGTGATTTCTTAGCCCAGCTAATCGTAAACCCTAAACCCTAAACCCTAAACCCTAAACCCTAAACCCTAAACCCTAAACCCTAAACCCTAAACCCTCAAGAAAGTGATAAATAGAAATTGCTTGTCCTTGTTTGTAACCACCGCTAAGGCCCAGCATTTCGGATAAAACTGGCGTTGGCGTCTTGATAATCCAATTTCGCACAACCACAACTTCAACCATTAACTCAGCCCAGCCAACTCAAAACAGCCACCCGATCAAAAACGGAACAAGCTTCTTGATAAACCAATTTCTCCATAACCTCCAACCCAGGCCCACCTTCCAATCCCCCAAATCCAGGTCCCAAACCCCAAATCCAGAATCCAGGTCCAGCCCCAAATCCAAGCACCAGGCCCTCCAAGCCCAGGCCCCAGACCCCAGGCCCCCAGGCCCCCAGGCCCATCCCAAATCCAAGCTTCGAAATCCAGGCCCCAGACCCCAAATCCAGGCCCAGTCCCAAATCCAGGCTCCAAGCCCCAAATCCAGGCCCTCCAAATCCAGGCCCACCCCAGATTTGGGATCTGGCCCCAAATCCAGCCTCCAGACCCCAAATCCAGGCCAGAGGCCCAGCATTTCGGGCACAACCATAACTTCAACCATTAACCCAGCCAACTCAAAACAGCCACCCGATCATCTCCATAACCTCCAACCCAGGCCCACCTTCCAATAATCCCCCATATCCAGGTCCCAAACCCCAAATCCAGAATCCAGGTCCAGGGGTCACACCCCAGGTCCCAGGCCCACCCCAAATCCAAGCTTCAGAATTCCAGCCCCAAATCAATCCAGGCCCCAGCCCCAAATCCAGGCCCCAGACCAACCCCAAACCCCCCCCCAAATCCAAGCTTCAAAATCCAGCCCCAAATCCAGGCCCCAAATCCCCTAGTCCCAAATCCAGGCTCCAGACTTCAAGCCCCAGGCCCCAAATCCAGGCAGACCCCAAATCCAGGCCCGCTCCAGATCCAGTCCCCAAATCCTGGCCCCCAAGATCCAGGCTCCAGGCACCAGGTCCAGTCCCAAATCCAAAATCGACCCCCCAAATCCAGGCACCAGGCCCCAAATCCAGGCTCCAGACCCCAAATCCAGGTCCAGTCCCAAATCCCATCCCCACTCCCAAATCCAGGCCCAGGTCCCAAATCCAGGCCCACCCGAATCCAGGCCCCCCCAGAGCCCCAGCCCCAGAGCTCCACACATGTGTATGCGGAGGAACATCCACGTGTGTGCGGGCGAACAGACACGTGTGTGCGGGGGAACACCTATGTGTGTGCAGGGAAACATACATGTGTATGCGGGGGAAGGGACATGTGTGTGCGGGGGAACACACATGTGTGTGTGGGGGAACACACATGTGTGTGCGGGGGAACACACATGTGTGTGCGGGGGAACACACATGTGCGTGTGTGGTGGAACACACATGTGTGTGCGCGGGATCACACGTCTGTGTGCGGGGAAACATACATGTGTGTGCGGGGGAACACACATGTGTATGCAGGGGAAGGGTCATGTGTGTGCGGGGGAACACACATGTGTGTGCGGGGGAACACACATGTGTGTGCGGGGGAACACACATGTGTGTGCGGGGGAACACACATGTGTGTGCGGGGGAACATCCACGTGTGTGCGAGCGAACAGACACGTGTGTGCGGGGGAACACCTATGTGTG